TACGATCTCTCGAACCGACCGATTGATCGCTCTTACTCAAACACAGAAGTTTGTCGGCGACGATACTTGGCTATTTGCTAATGGACGTTTCCTTGCTTCCAAGGGTCAACTCTTCCAGTTTCGATTAAGTATCCGGTAATTTCTCCGACCAGTACATAAATTCCTAGATTGTAGTCAGTTGTATAGCGCGCAGAGTGTCAAAGAGTTAGTTGACTGATTACGGAAGCATCGAACTCTGAGAAGTGCGTTAAGTCTTCGCCGAAGTAATCTTCCGAGACGAACGGAGAAACGTATTCAGGAAACGTGTAGGAAAAAATATTTTCTTTGCTTCGCTTTTATATAGCGCGCGCTATAAATAGAAAGTGTACTGATCTTGAACGGAGGGAACTTTATCTCGGCTCTCTTGACCTCCTCACGAGGGAGATATTATTTATGGATTGCATGACGTGTGTGCGTAAATTACTTCAGTCTCATTAAGTCTTCAAAATAAAGTGCTTTCTCACTCTTCGAGTAATTTTATACTGTCTTATATATTTGCAATATCTGTGTCTCGATTGAAATATTATCTCGATGATCTCTGATTTAGTGGGATTATTGATCGTGCGAACGAAAGGGAAAAATAATCCCGATTCCAATTAGAGTCTCGATTCTAAGTTTCAGTTTCTCAAACAAGCCGGATCCAAAAAACTCCACGATTTGCGCCTCCCTCGTCGAAATCTTCTCACCGAAATTTCCGGATCTGTTGAATTGTCATTTCTCGTGGATCCCGCTTATATTCAGACAAGTAGCGCGAGACGAGTTTTACTCGGATTAACACTCTCGGGGACAATATATTTCTGAATCGTATATATAAAAGATCAAAAACTCATATTTCTAATAATTCAGATATGATATAAAATGTACTCGCTGTACTCGCAAAATATATTTTCGAGTAATTGAAAAATATCGCAAAGTATTCGGAGGGAATATTATGTGCCCTGTGTCCCCGAGAAAATCGAACCACTTTCGTGTCGCCGCACAATTTGGCGAAAAAGTCAAAGTTCACGTCGATATCGTGGAGACATTTGGGAGCGATTCCCGGTTACCGTCGAACCGAGCGAGATAATAGAAAACCGAGACACAATGAACGATAATATTAGGCATTCTGATAGCGATCTATTCATCAATTAACATCAACCGGACTCTCCTCGACAATCTTCTCCAGCAGCTGGCCCGACTCATAGTCCCTGCACCTGTTACCGATGCAAACGGAAGAGCCTAAGGGCGAGCCGATCTCCTGCGGCAGGCCCTTCTTGAGGACATTGAGATACCCCTAGCTTTGAACTATATCGCTAACATACTCCTCGTGGAGCGCGAGCAAATGACGCGGTACATCCAGGGCGGTGTGGAGGGTTACGGTGACGCCGCGATTAAGGCTTATCGCCGGATAAAAGACGCCGTAGAGATCGCGGAACGCGACACCGCCCTGCGGCTGATCGTTGACGAAGAAGCGCAATGTGTGCGTGGTATCCAGGTCGAGGAGGACACCGACGGTCGAGCCCTGTTGAACGCCTCCCTCAGTGCGCTGCGCGTGACCGCCACCGTGCATGAACCACGACCGTTGCCGATCTATGTACATGCTCCAGCCTTTGTCGTCCTTACCTGCGAACAGACGATTCGCAAAATTGCGCGAGCCGATCTTCAGCTTCGAGGAAAGGAGAGATCGAATTGCATCACCACGTAAATAGCAGAATAAATGTTAAAATGTTAGAAATAGAATGTGCGGGGGAGTATATCTTAAATAAAAATATTTGTATAAATTATTTTTCTCCTACTGAATTATAAATGTGTTAATATGAAATAATAATCAATATTTATCTGTATCCAAATAATTAAAATTAATCCAAATTCTATGGGAAATGTGTGATTGATTTTACGAAATAGATATTTCTCTTTAGAGACAAAGAGACTTCGCGCAGTTAAAATAATTATTTTTCAGTAGCAATAAAATATAATGGATTGAGAGTATTTAAATATTTAAATTAATTTCCGAAATATGTATATATATAACATTATATTTTTTTACTCGTTCGAAATAATTGGAATAGATGAAGCAAATTATTATGTTATTGGACTTTACAACGTTAATATTTTAGAAAAATCGCAAGAGATATGAGAAACATTGTCTAGTTCCTGTTTCTATTATACATTTCCATCGAGTTTATTAAGCGCGGTCTTTGCTTTTCATCAGCTCTAAGAGCGTTGACCTGGTTTCCACGTGTCCAAGATTAAAGTATCCTTCTCTTTTAGTATGTTGCACAACCGCGCGCTTTCGGAATCTCTTGGCCATCGTTTTCTTTTATCCACAGCGACATATAAGAGATAGAAGAAGAGAGAGATACAGAAAAAAAAAACACGATACATACGTCTCTCGCTTCCGAATTTCCGAACAAATCAGGGATCTCCGGAGTGTACCGGGTGGCGCATGAATATTTCATCGGTGTGGGATAAACCGCACGACCGTCCTCTCCTTTTCCGGAGAGAAAGACCGGAGAGGAGAGAAAGAGAAAGAGAGAGGGCAACAATGTTGGACTTACCTAGCATCTGATCACGCGACACGTCGGCCCGGGCGATACCAAAGGCCGGATCGGTGTCACTGTGATATCGATCGATAGTCAGCTCCCAGTAGTGGACGCCCCGCGAGAAGCCGACGCTCGAGAGGACCACGCGGTGCTCGTAGCCCTCGCAGGACGCGCTCATCGCGTCCTCCGATATGGACACCTCCTGCGGTATGCCGGCCGCGCCGGTGGCCCACGAAAACCACGCCACTGCAAGGGACCAGAGAGGATGTAGCTCCGATTAATATTCCGCGGATACGGATCCGCAAGCGTGCTTAACGAACTGCACGCTTGGCGTTACACGAGCGCCGGGTATCGAAGTGCCGGGTTATTGGGAATTCGACATCGCCGCCGCACTCGATGTTAATAACGACGTGACGGGATTGTGGAATCTTAATGGGAGACGAGGAACGATGTGAGGGAGGAAAACCCGGATTTTCTACGCCGCTAAATAATTTAAGAATTTGATACGTCGAAGGTCTCGACGTGACGCGATTGCGAAACCTGAACGTGGAAGGGTGAGACATATCTTACCTCACGCAATGTTAAATCATTTAAAATTTTTATATAGAATTTGTTATGACGCGTGGGATTGTCGAAACTTAATATTTAATTCTCACCCAGCGAATATCACAAGTTATTCACTATCCGGAAATACGAAAAAAAAGATCAATTTTTTCTCCTTTACAATCTCCTTACATATTAATATCTCATTCCGAAAAATATATGCTATACATAAAAACAGCGCAAAACTAATCCAATTTTAGAAAAAAATATTAAAAATGCAATATAAAAATTTTAATCTGCATATCAAATAAGTATTCAATATTCGCTATTAATCGATTCACCGTTCAAAGATTAGAAGATAAGAGTACATCTAATTCTCTGCAGTGCTAAAGGATTAAGAAATATTTATGATTCAATAATAATAAAATCAAACGAAATTCCTCGAGAATCCGTATCCAAAATATACGAAAATAAAAATGGGAGTCATTTGTAATTGTCGATCGCATTATTCCGCAAACGCCGTTAGGCTGACATTCTATCGCGTTCATTTCTGTGCGTCCACCGTCCATCTCATCGATCACGCGATCGTGCCGCGGAAAAAAAAGAGAGGAATACGCGCGGTTGGAAAATCGACGTCGCTTACGACCGTTCGTCTTCCACGCGACACCGACGCCGGTTTCCCAGTCGAGGCCTCCGCGCATTCGGCCCAGGAAACCGTGAAAAGGAAAAAAAAAAAAAGAAACGGAGAATCTCACCCTCCGCGGTCTGAAGGCCGATCAGTTCCGAGTACTCGCCCTCGCCGGCACTGTTAAAGGCCCGCACCCTGGCATTATAGAGTGAGTTGAAGTGCAGCCCATCCACAGTGCAGATAGTCTCGCGTCCACAATACACCTCCTGTGAATCAGATTTCAAACGGCGCACTCGTGAATTTGCGGCTTGCAACTGCATCCGAGTAATTTGTACCACTAGTCGAGAGAAAGAACGATATTTTGCGAGAATATAATTAATTTCTTTGAAAATAATATTATTTAAAAACCCTTACTTGTCAAAACGTACAAGATATAATTTATATATATTATATACAGTGTAAAAAAATATAAAGATATTTTATAATAAAAAATTATTTTTGCGCATAAGTGTGTATGTAAAACAATACGTTAAATATAATAACAAAATAATAATATAAATTAGAAATTCTTAAAAATATACAGAAACAAATAATTTATTTAAAAATATGATAATATATCGAGACCGACTTTTATACGAATAATGGTTAAAGCAGATCAAAATGTTCAACTCGACTGGAATAAAATTCTATGGCAAGCGAGCATTGTAGTTGTGATGGTAGATCAATGAGAATAAACGGACTTTACTTGTCATCCAAACTTTTTTAAAAGAAATGTCAAGTTAACATCGATTGGTCGAGCCACAGATAAACAAACCGAGATATGTATTATCAGATTTACGTCAAAATAAAAGTTTTCCGATGCACTAATAAAATATACGGTTCAAACAATTCTTTTTTGATAGTTATTTTTTCTTTTCGATACCGTCAATACAATTTTCTTTATTCTTTTTATATATATGTCTAAAAAATATGATAACAAAGATATAAAGAAACAATTATAAATATTATTAAATTTAACTATGCATCTCTATTATAATGTTGCATAATTATAATGCCTTAATATATACAATAAGTAAAATACAATAAATTTGAGATGAATGAAAATGTATAAGGCATGCTAAGAATTATGAATCTTTCTCGAAACAAATAAAAATCAGACTCTTGTATATCTTGCATATTCTCCTTAAATAAAATAACGCAGAACATAAAGATGAAATTAATCCCGGAGGTTAGTGTGAATCCGCGGCTGAACTCGATCCTTATCCATCAAAGGAGATCCCGCCGCAAGCTTGAATGACGATCCCGCAGGAACGTAGGAGCGAGTAAAGTGAACTACGAGGAAACGGAAACCAGAGACCGGGAAATCCGAGGCCGTCGTACTCGCGCGCGAACGAGCTCGATTTAAATATTAAAAGAAGGGGAGATGGAGGGGGGTGGCCGTGCGATACCGATAGCCATCAGGAGGACTCGGGCGACGAGTCGGGCAGAGGAAGAACGAGGAGGGCGCCGACAACGAGGACGATTTATATTCGCGGTATCGCTACGTTCGTTAACGAGCACCGGTATCGCAACGCGCCGCCGGGTGCATTATTAACAAAGCATGAAAATTTAGATGCGCGATTTACAAGCCCGACCTGGAGCACGTTTGTGCGAACGGACGATATTCATATATGTGTGACGTACGGAGCAATATACGTGCTATTCTCGTCGATTTTGCTGCGAATTTTGCATGTTATATTCCTTCGCGCGGATCATTTCTAGAATAAAACCCTCACGAAATATGAGAAGAATTAATGTAATTTCGAATATAGAACTGTTTTAATATTATAACATTATAAATGTGTCATTTACCTTGACTGAAACTATTGTGAAGTTTATACATGAAATTTAAACCTGATATTAATAAAATAAAAAAAGTATAGTGTTTTTGTCTTTTTATTAAGATTGTATAATCTCTTTTATTTAAACCTACTGTATCATTTTCACGTATTCATGCATATGTAAATATTTGTAAGAATTAAAAACCCAACGGTATGAAAAGAAAAACTCCGTATGAAAAAGACTAATCTTTATAATATATCAATTGACCTTTCCACTTTGTTCAACTTTTTTCTCTCTTGCGATAGTGGAAGACAAAACTCTATAAAACTTCACGTCCGTCGGTAGAGTGCCTCACATTAATATCGTGGGTTATGTTGCAGTTCGACGGTTCGAACTGCCGTCATTTGATAAAAACTTCTAATGAAAGAAGCGATATCGTCGCCAGCAATTAATAATTGCCATCGCCCGAAAGGCTCGCTCATTTCTCACGTGTAAGCTCGGAATCTTGCGGAATCGTGGATTTCAATTAACGCTCTCAAAGAGCCGAGTCTTAATTTACGAGTAGAAAAAAAATCCTCTAATTCATAAATCGTTTCTATATAATTGCAGATACTTGCTTATACGCGCTAAAAAGAAAAAAATTTAAATTGTTATAAATTACGTACAATTTTTTTTTCGTATTATACAGACAATTAGAGATTTTATCTCCCGGTTCTGCGGATGCTGCGGGCGTAACGAGTTAATGTAGCGCGTTAAACTGCCTTCATTCGCCTTTCACTAATTCCCAAATTTTTCAAACTTGCGCCATGAATTCGCTCCGCAAGAGACTGCCTTTTAATTCCCGACTTTTATGTCGCGGCTCAAGCGTTCTATTTAGGCTGAGTTATTAGCCGTAATCGTTACCACGTTTTTTCGAAGGGGGGGAGGAAGGGTGCTCGTTGCCACCCGCGTTTACGATCAATAAAACGTGAAAGACGGCGTTTCGAGTTCGGCCGAGCAAAACCCGATCCGAGAATAAATGTGACGGGCCTCGCTAAGCCGGAAATGCGTCGCAAACGAATACGTGTGGTTGAGGAGATCCTTTACTCGCGATTCTCGTAACAAAAATATCCATATAAGGCATAAACTTTACGGACGATTGATATTGATATTCGTTTCGCGGCGCGCAAAGCAAATTTCCATCGAAAGGGACTTTATAATCCTGTCGTCGTTTTTTCCGATTATTCTTTCTACGCGTTTCAATGTCACATATTATAGCCGATATTAGTCTTCCGGGTGAATTGAAAGGTAGCTTTTTATGTATTTGGTCTTTCTGGTTTTGTTAAACGTCCGGGAATCTGTCCGTGAAGTACATTTCGATGTTATTGCGTGTAGTAAAAATTATCGTATTGTAAGAGACGAAGCTGTTATATGATAGTGATAAAATTGTGCGCGCATATATTTCGCAACTCAAGGAAGTAATAAGCAGTTTCCTAACACAACATGACATTAAATGATGTCAAGAAACTTTTTAGTTTTTAGTTTTAGTTTTTCAAGTCATTTAACGGAAGTACAATCAATAAATGCGAGGAAATCAGAATACATGTATAATTTATTTTCTAGAGAGAGAAAATGCTACCATTTTGTAGCTAATTTTGCATTTACATATGTATTCTAAAAAAAAATTAAGAAGAATGGTCGGGAGAAAAAATAGAATTTTACCACGCATAAAAAAAAACTTACATCTCTTTTCTCTCGGTTTACACCGTCACGTTTAGTTCAACATGTACAACCGATCTTTTCGAGTTTCCTGCCACGTACAATCTTGTCTTTTTTACTATTTTTGCAGTACGAGTAACTTTATTTCATCAGAGCGCAAGGAAACTCTGTCTAACTTTTCGAAAGCGAGACTGATGGACAGTCTCGCAACATCGCTTCCAATAAAATTAATGTTTTATTTTAACGCAGTATTTTATATTAAATTCGATTTACATCACGAATTTCTATATTAAACGGATAAGGATCAATTCGTCATTTTATCTCAAAAATAAATTAAGCCCAAAAAAATTATAATTGATGAAAAATATTTACCCATTGTACTGTGTAAGAAAGCTGATACGACACTTTCAAAATTTCCGTAGGAGAAATAACAAACGTCAAATACTATTTAATGTCAACCGGTCTTCTTGTATCATCTTGTCCGAGCCGGAACAATTCTACGAAAAATATCGTGAGAACGTTGAAGTGTCCCATTGTTGGACAAAGCCGTATCGCCGTCATTCTCGACGGGATAACACGACCGAAGGAGAGAGCATTTGGCAAAGAAAGAAACACCGGAGCCGGACGTCCGTCGCGTCGACAAAAAAAAATGTACGAGAAACGCGATGAGGGATCCAACGAGTAAAGTGTCATCGAGAAATGCGCGGGGCCGAGATCTCGAGAAAGCTTCGAGAGATCCGAGCCGGGCGTCTCCGATAGTCACCGACAGTCCTACGACAGACACGGGAGTACAATTTCTTCCGGACACACCGGGGGTGTGTTTACTCACCCTAAACTCCCCGCCGCAGCCGTCGTCCAACTCCAAAAGATATCCCTCGATAGCTGGGCCCCTCTGTCCGGCACAGCCTATAATTCCGTGCCCAGGTGGCGGCTGCCAGGCAACGGTGACGCTGTTGTTCTCGGCACTACACTCTTCGGGGATCAGTAAAGGCGCTCCGGGTGCTAGAAATACGTGCGTCGAGACGGTTTAAGTAGCGCTCCGTGTTGCTGTAACTATGACGGTGTATATGTATGCGCGTATGGTGTGTATATGTGGAAATGCGAGAGTAAAATAATATGCTGGATTTAATAATGTCGTTTAATTCCGAGATAAGAGATCTTGGGATTAATTCTAATATTGTAGGATTCGCGATGACTCGATAGAGGTTTAGTTGTTATGTTAAATGAACGAAGATAAGCCGATTAAATAAGGGATTTTCCGCTTGATTTAAAAGCGATTTTTCTTCTCAAAATCACAATGTAGAGAACGAAAGACACATTAATAATCGTATAATGGAAGCATAAGTATGATAAATTCGTAAAGAGAATGATAAAACTTGTAAACTAAAATTGACTCGTAAGAATAAAGTTATAAGCAGATTATAAATGTTGTACCTGTTTTAAGAAAAATTTTCAATCTCGGAATTTTCCACTTTGATAGAACTTTGTACACACTTAACAAGTATTCCAAATAAGTAGCTAAACATTCCGCAATTTCGTAACAAAAGGGTTTAGATAAAGCATTTAACTTTATAAATTTCGAGTCGACAAAGTTCGTTTGTGAATCACTTTAGAGAAACAACGGTAGTTTTATAAGTAAGAAGGAAGTTGTCATATAAATAAATTAAAATTAAAAATTATATTTATGTAATAAGATATGTATATATATATATGTAATTTACATTTATATGTAAGACAGAAAATATTATTTTCCAATTTTATACTGTCAGAAAATAGAGAACCATCGGAAACAAATAAAATTTTAAAAATTCGATAATTTATCGCGTTAAATCATTGAGGATAAGATCGCAAAAAGGCGCTAAAATAAAATAAAATACGTTCACACGGAGATCGTTAAACGGTTTTACTGAGAGATTCGATAGTTTTAACTCCGCTGGCTAATTTAAATATAACATGATCCGAAACCGCGTCGCTTGGCTCCAATTTCGATTTGCCTCAAAGCCGGATTGCCGGTGATGACCTTCGGCGGCAATAATTTCACAATTTAAACGGGTTTCGGACTGCCGAATTTGCCGCGAGTTTCCTAACGACGAATGGAACTTGGTCGTTGCCGCGCGACCGCACGATTCCATTCGATGGCTGACTGTCTAAGGTACAAGTCGAAGCTGTGCAAATTATTGCGCGGCCGCCGCTATCTAAATTTCTGTCCGACAGAAATGTATTGAACTATCGATGCAGAGCACCATATTTCAATTTGTCAAATCTCGATCGGAATATATAAGTTCCTCAATAATACGCTGGAATCGAATTAATTCTTCATATTGCGAAATTATAAGTTAAAGTTAGATAATAATTTGTTTCTTATAAAGCTACTCAATTACATGAAAAATATGCGTGCTTTTATTTTTAAAAATGGCAATTCGTCCACATATTTGAAATTTTCGATTAAAATCGAAAATTATATTAATGATACCGTCTCTCTCTCTCTCTCTCTTTCTCTCTTCGTAAAGTATTATTATATTCGCTGAATTTCTAGATAAATTTCCGCGCGTGTTGCTTTCGCCATAAGAGAGCGATCGTTCGAAACGATCGACGTTGGATCGAGCAATTCATTATGAACCGCGCGAATGTCGGCGAGATAGTCCGCTTTCAAGAGCGTTAACGCGAGCTGCAGGTGGTCGTTGATGCTTCTACATGCAATTATCTGGCTTTCAGTGGAAACTCGGCGCGTCGCGACGCGGCTCGTCAACTCGTCCTTTAACTTGCACGGCATGCTAATAAACCGAAAGCATTTCCTCTTAGTGCGCGCCGTCCGCATGCGGTTTCGCGCAAACTTATCTCGAAAACACTCTCGACGCACCTGTCCGTTTCGGTCGATTCCGGATGTGCCGGCGAGCATAATTCGATCGGACGCCGCGAGCGTCGAGTAAACACGCGACCGAAAAGACCGAGGCTTGACAAACACGCCGTCGTCAGAACAAAAGAAATATGTCGCGAAAGTTATCGCGATTCTTTTGCTTGTTATTGTATAGGTTGATGCTATGAAATTACAAAAAAAATGCGGTCGAGTCAACTCTTTGATAGAATTGTGCTGTATAGGGTGTCCCGCCTCTATTGCATTATTTTTGAATGACAATTTCACATTCGTCCATTCGAGATAGATTTTTACTCTGTGATAATATGCAGATAAATAACATTCTGCTCAATCTAGATTATAAATCGGATAAAATCTGCTTTTTACAATAGATAAAAAGGACAAACACACGCGGAGTTACAGATCAATGGATCGATTGGAATTGCGATGAAAGTGTATATGTACACATTTATTTCGCAAAGCAAAAAACGGAATTTCAATAGCATATCTCATACATTCGCGCAAACGAAAAAGTGCTGCCTTTGATAATTCTATGGAATAAAAGCCGTGGAAGCTGCGATTTCGCGCGAAACTAATCATCTTTCCGATTTCGATGAAATTGTCTCGTCAATTCAATGATGTAGGAAATTTAATACGTTTTTTCAATATATATATGTACGATGAATAGTATGAAAAATCACATTTTTCTCTACACAAAAGATGTAATCTTTTATATGGGAAAATATAATTTTTCGTATGGGATTGAAAAATGTAATCTTTATATGGGAAATTGTGGCAATATGAACGAATCGCGATAAAGAAAGAGAAAAAGTTTAAAGTAAAAAATTATGTATATATATATACATATATATATATTTACTTTTTATTCCTTTTCTATATCAAATATGTTTAATATTAAATATGTTTTATATCAGATATGTTTGTATTAATATGATCAAATGCATGTATGTATATATATATATACATATATATATATATATTTACTATATAATATGTTGAGAGATAAGAGAATTAATCTAATTTCAAGTATTGAATATTTTACCAGCACGCGACATAAAAATCTTATTACAGTAAACAAGTCATCAAAACGTCAAGTCGACTTATATGTTTAAATTTTAATTTCGTGAAATATTACGTGAATTGATGGGAGTGAAGTGCGTTCCAAAGTTTATATAAACTGTTAATTCTATTTTATATAAACACTAGACATAAAACACTGGGGATAGTGTTTTGTCCGCTACAACGTCAAGGAAGGCTTAGCATGTGTATGCATAATTAACCGGCTTCATGCTTGACAGCAAATCGTCATGGAGTTCAGCGTCTCCTTGGAGTGAGCCGTTCTACTCTACAGCACGTTCTAAGGTCCCTGCGGTATCTCACGTTATGAAATTAGGCTAATGGCACGAGCGTTACATAACTATGTTCGACGTTGAACCAACGGAGCTTTAATGCAAATTGAGGTCCTCTCTCTCTCTCTCTCTCTCTCTCTCTCTCTTGAAAAACAATTATTATTTTCTGTCCTCATTTCTAATTAAACGACAAAGAAAGACTGGGAAAAAAACAGGTCAATTTTCATTTAAGTACATCGGGCAGAAAATTAGTAGAAAATTATTTAAAAATAATGCTAGTCTCGCGATCACTCGATGGCTTAACGGTTTTGCCGATAAAAAATTCGTAGACCAGAAAATTATCTTATTCAAGAAAAAAATTTATATCGCGACTTTAAAATCTGATTTTTCAGGAAGTAATATCGTGTAGGATCGCATAATTTGCACGGGACGCGATAAAGATCGACGAGATAAAAGTCGTTTATGCCGAACGGGGGTAAGAACGTCGCGGGTGGAGAATAAACTCACGCTGTTTCATCGCTTATCGCGATCCAAAAACTCGTGTAATCCGACGTGGAACCTCGATGGAGCCGTTCGTACGGTAAATTCCACCGCGCCACGTTCCATCCGCTCTATACCGTCGACATTACTATCGATTATCCGGGATTTCGTCGGATTTTACGTCGGTGCTATCAACGTGCGACATCCCCAAGTATTACAGTCAGCATCGACGATTATTTCTCACAATGTCATTTTCGAAATATGACACGCACGGATATCTATTTTTAATATATCCTTAACGGAATAGTGATGATTTATTAAGACAATTATTTTGGATGTTTAAAATTAATTAAATTTATAACATCGAGTAAAATTTCAAAGTACCGATAACGTTTATAATCCAACTGAATAACAGTAAAAAAATCCGCAAAGAGAGAGGGAGAAGGAAAGGGTTGCGCGAAATAACGGAACCGCGGCGTCAATTAAAACCGCCTAAAAAAGTCACGAGAAACCACGTGAAATATCGATCATTTTACGAGGGTGCGCTCGTAAAAGCGAGAATTAATGGATGGGACAGGTGCACGCGAGTGACTTGAAGATCTCGCCTTCCGAGAAAGGATCGGCTCGACAGAGACGTGTGGAAACAACGGGGCACGAACGAAAAAAAAGAAAACTTTCTCTCTCTCTCTCTCTCTCTCTCTCTCTGTTACGGCCGCCCTTTTTACAGTTTTGCAATGGGTCCGACGTGAATCGACACGCCAGCGAAACTTTATGCCCATATCGGAGTGATTTATCGAACTGTGCGAGACGCGTCGCACTGATATCCGATATTCGTGTAGACTCCATCTCCCTTTCTCTCTTTCTCTCATTCATTCTGTTCTCTTTGTGAGAAAAACGTAAAAAAAAGGGTGCATCGATAAGGGCGATACAGAGGAGAGGAGGAAAAAGAGAGAGAGGGGGAGCGAGAGAGAAGCACGAGCGCGCCGATAGCCTGTTAAAATGTATCGCGCGCAAAATATATCTCGCTGATAAAACTTGCCGACAGATGAAAATAAACTTCGCGGAGGATGGACGGCTCTCGACGTCGCGAAAAATGGTCTTCTTCGCGAGACTCGACCGTGATCTTGAGGAAGTTCTTCGCCGAAGACGATCTTTCACGCTTCACCGTCGGCGCAGAAGTAACAATCACGTTCGCTTCGACACTTTCGTTTCTGACGCGAGACAACTGATCTCGTTCGCGAAAAGCTTCTTAGCTTCTAGACTTCTGGAGGAGTCCTTCGACTACATACTTTTGATTAAAGTTCG